CCGCCCCCTTCCCTTTCTTCCACTCTTTACCCACTTTCTACTTGCCCCCCTCATTTACTCCTCTTTTTTCCCCAGCTTACCTCCCCCTTCTCTTGTACTCTGCTCGGTCTTCTACATTAACCTTCGTCTCCTTGTCTCTTTCTCTTCCCCTTCTTTTTTCACCCCTCCTCACTCCTTTTTTTCCTCTTCCTCATCCCCTCCCATTTCATCCCACTCCCCTCCATCTTTTTTTCCTCCCCTCTTCCCTGTTCCCTCCTTTCTCTTCCCGCTTTTCCTTCTCTCTAGTTTCTCCCCCCCTTCCTCTCCTCTCCCTCTTTTTTTCTCCCTCCCCTCTTCTTCCTCCCTCCTCCCTCTCTTCTTCCCCCCTTCTCCCTCCTCTTTTTTTTTCCTTTCTTTCCCCCTCCTTCTCCTCTCCTCCCCCCTCTCTCCTTCCCCTCCCCCCCTCTCCTCTTTCTCCTCCGTTCTTTTTTTTCCCCTTCTTCCTTCCCCCCCCCTCTTTCTCCCTTCCTTTTCCCCTCTTCCTTTTCCTCTCTCCCTCTCTTCTCCTTTTTTTTCTCCTCCCCTTCTTCCTTCTCTTTTCTTTTTTTTTTCCTCCCTTCTTTCTTTCTTTCCCTTCCTCTTCTCTCCCTCCCCCCTTTCTTCTTCCCCCCTCTCTCCCGCCTTCTCCTTTCCTCTTCTTTTCCCCCTCTTCTTTCTTCCCCCCTCTCTTCCTCCTTCTCTTCTTTTTCCTTTTTCCCCTTTTCTCTTTTTCCACTCCTCTCCTTCTCTCCCTCCCTTCTCTCTTTCTTTCCTCCTCTCTTCCTTCCCCCTTCCTTTCTTTCCTCCTTTCTCCTCCTTTCCCCCCCCTCCCTTTTTTCTTTTCTTTCCCCCTCCCCTTCTTTCTCCCTCTCTTTTCTCTCTTTTTCTCTTCTCTCTTCTTCCTCCCCCTCTCCTCCTTCTCTCTCCTTCTTTTCCCTCTTCTCTTCCTCTTCCTCTTTTTTCTTTCTCTTTTTCCCCCTCTCTTCCCTCTCCTCTCCCTCTCCCCCCCTTTCCCCCTTTCCTCTTCTCTCTTTTCTTCTTTCCTTCCTTCTCCCCTTTTCTTTTCTTCCTCCCTTTCCCCTTCTCCCCCCTCCCCTCCTCCTTCTCCTTCTCCCCTTTCCTTCTCTCTTCTCTTCCCTCCTCCCTTCCTCCTCCCTCCCTCCTTTTCCTCCTTTTCTTCTTTTCCTTCTCCTTTCTTCCCCCTCTCTCCCCCGTCTTTTCCCCCTTCTCTTCTTCCTCCTTTCTTTTTCTTCTTTTTCTCTCTTCCTCTTTTTCCTTTCCCTCCTCCTCTCCCTTTCCTTTCCTTTCTCCTTTCTTCCCTTTTTCCCCCTTCCTCCCCCTCCTTCCCCTCTCCCCCTCCCTCCCTTTTCCTCCCCTTTCTTCCTTTCCTCCTTTTTCCCTCTTCCTCTCTTCCTTCTTTCCCTTCCTTCTTCCTTTTTCCCTCCTCCCCCTTTCTTTTTTCCCTCCTCCTTCCCCTTCTTCCCCCCTCTTTCCTTCTTCTCCTTTTCCTCCTTCCTCTTTCTTCTTCTTTCCTCCCTCCTTCTCTTTCCTCCTTCCCCCCCCTCCTTTCTCCCTCTCCCCCCCCTCCCCCCTCTTTCTTTTTCTCCTTTCCCTCTCCCCTTTCTTTCTCTCCCCTTCCTCCCTCCCTCTCCCCTCCTCCTCTCCCCTCTTCTCTCCCCCTCTCTTTTTCTCTCTTCCTTTCCCTTCTTCCTCCCCCTTCTCTCCCCCTTCTTCCCTCCCCTTCTCCCCCCTTCCTCCTCCTTCTTCCTTTTCCTCCCTTTTTTCCCCCCCTCTTTCTTTTCCCCTCTCTTTCCCCCTCTCTCCCCTTCCCTCCCTTCCCCTCTCCCTTTCCCTTTCCCTCCCCCCCCCCCCCCTTCCCTTTTCCCCCTTTCTTTTCCCTCTCTCTCCTCCTCTTCCTCTCTCCTCCTTCTCCTCCCCCCTCTTTTTCTCCCCTTTTCCCTTCCCTTCTCCTCCTTCCCTTTCTCCCTTTTCCCCCCCTTTTTCCTTCTTCCCTCCCCCTCTTCCGCTTTCCTTTCCTTCTTCTCCCCCCCCTCCCCTTCTCTTTCTTCTCCCTCCCTTTCCTTCTTTCTTCCCCTTCCTCTCTTCCCCCTCCCCCTCTCTTCCCTCTCTCCTCTCCCCTTTCCTCTCCTTCTTCCTTCTTCCCCTCCTCCCCCCTCTCCCCCCCCTTCTTCCCTCTCTTCCCCCTCCCCTTCCTCTCCTCTTCTCCTTTCCTTCCCTTCCCTTTTCCCCCCTCCCCCCCTTCTCCCTTCTTTTCTTTCCTCCTCTTCCTTTCCCCTTTCTTCCTTCCTTCTCCCTTTCTCTTCCTTCCTCCTCTCTTTCTTCTCCTCCTTTTTTCCTTTCCCCTTCTTTCCCCCTCCCTCTCCCTTCTTTTTCCTTCTCTCCCTCTTCCTTCCTCCCTCTCTTCCTTCTCTTTTTCCCTCTCCTCTCCCCCTTTCCTCTTCCCCCTTTTCCCCCTTCTCTCCCCCCCTTCCCTTCCCCCTTCTCCTCCTCTCTCTTTCTTTCCTTCTTCCTTTCTCTTTCCCTTCCTTTCTTCTTCCCTTCTTTCCTTCCTTTTTCCTCCTTCCTCTTCTCCCTCCCCTCCCTCCCTTCCCCCCCTCCCTTCTCTCTCTTCCCCTCCTTCCTTTTTCCTTCTCTTTTTTCCCCCTCCTCTCCCCTCTTCTTCCTCCTCTTCCCTCCCCCCTCTCCTCCCCTCCCTCTCTTCCCTTCTTCTTCTCCTCCCCCCTCCTTTTTTCTTTTTCTTCTTCTTCTTTTTCTCTCCCCCCCCTCCCCTCTTTCCCCCCCCCCTCTTCTCTCCCCCTTTCCTCCTTTCCTCCTCCTTTTCTTCTTCTCCCTCCCTTTCCCCTCTCCCCCCTTTCTCCCCCCCTCCCTCTCCCCCCTCCCCTCCCCTCCCCCCTTCCTTTTCTTTTTCCTCCTTCTTTCTTCCTCCCCCCTTTCTTTTTTCTCCTTTCTCCTCTCCCTCTCTTTCTTTTCCCTTCCTTTCTCCCCTCTTTTTCCTTTTCCTTTCCTCTTTTCTTCTTTCTTCCTCTCTCCCCTTCCTCTCTCTTTTCCCCTCCGCCTCCCTTTCCTCTTTTTTCCTCTCCTCCCCCTCCCTTCCTCTTCCTCCTCTCCTCCTTCCTTCCTTCCTTTCTCTCCCCCCCTCCCTCCCTCCTCCCTTTTTTCCCCTTTTTTCTCTCTCTCCTTCCTCCTTCCCTTTCCCCCCCCTTTTCCTTTCTTCCTTCTCTCCTCCTCTCTTCCTTCTCTCTTCTTCTCCTCCTTTTCTCTCTCCCCCTCCTCTCCCCTTTTTCCTCTTCCTCCTTCTTCTTCCTCTCCTTTTCCTTCCTTCCTTTTCTTTCCTTCCTCCTCCCCCCTCCTCTCTTTTCTCTTTCTTCCTTCTCCTCCCTTCTCTCTTTCTCTCCTTTCCCCTCTTCTTTCCTTCCCCCCCCTTCCTCTTTCCCCCCTCTCCCTCCCTCCCCCTCTCCCTCTCCCCCTCCCCCCCTCCTCCCCCCTCTTTTCCTTCTTTTCTCCCCTCTTCCTCCCCCTTCCCTCTCTCCCCCCCCCCCCCTTTTTTCCTCCTTCCTTCTCCCCTCTTCCTCTCTCCTCCTCTCTCCTCTTCTCCCCCCTCCCTCCTCTCCCTTCTTCCCTCTTTCCCTCTCTTTCCCTCTTCCTTTCCCTTTCTTTTCCTCTTCCTTCTTCCCCCTTCTTTCTCCTTCTCCTCTCTTCTCCCCCTCTCCCCCCCTCTCTCTTTTCCTTTCCTTCCCTTTCTTCTCCCTCTTTCCTCCTCCTCTCCTTCCTTCTCCCTTCTTCTCTCCCTCTCTCTTTCTCTCTCTCCCTTTCCTCCTTCTCCTCTTCTCCCTCTCTTCTTTCCCCTTTCTTTTCTCCCCTTCCCCTTTTCCTTCTTCCCCTTTCTTCTTTCCCTCCTTCCCTTTCCCCTTCTTTTCCTTTCTCTCCCTCTCCCCCCTTTTCCTTTCCTTCCCTTTCTTCTTCCTTTTTCCCTTTTCCTCCCTTTTTTTCTTTTCCTCCTTCCTTTCTCCCTTTTTTTTTCTCTTTCTCCTTTTCTCCCTCCCCCTCCTCTCCTCTTCTCCCCCCCTTTCTTTTCTCTTCCTTCTTCTTCCTTTTTTTTTCCTTTTCTCTCTCCTTCTCTTCTTTTTCCTCTCCCTTCTCCCCTTCTTTTCTTTCTCTCCCTTTCTCCCTCCCCTTCCCTCCTCTCTCTTTTTCTTTCTCTCCCCCTTCTCTTCCTCCCCTCCTTTTCCCTCTTCCCCCCCCTCCTCTCTTTTCTCCCTCCTCTTCTTTCTTCCCCCTCTCCTTTCCCTCCCTTCTTTCCTCTCTTCTTCTTCTTCTTCCCTCCCCCTTCTTCCTCCTTCTTTCTCCTTTCTTCTCCTCTCCCCCTTCTTTTTTCTTCTCCCTTCTTTTCCCTTCCTTCCTCCTTTTTCCTCTCTCCTCCTTCTCCCTCTTTTTCCTCTTTCTCTTCCCCCTCCTCTTTTTCCTTCCTCCCTTCTCTCTTCTTCTCCCTTTCCCTTTCTTTCTTCCTCCTCCCCCTTTTCTTTCTCCCCCTTCCTCCTTTTTTCCCCTTCTCTTTTCCTCTTCCTCCCCCCCTTTTTCTCCTTCTTTCCTCCCTCTTCCTCTTCTTCTCTTCCTTCCTCTCTTCTTTCTTCCCTCTTCATCCCTTTTCTTTCTCTCCCCCCTTCCCCCTTTCCCCCCTCCTCTCCTCCTTCTTCTCTTTTTCCTTTCTCCTTCCCTTTCCTTTCTCTCCTCTTCCCTCCTTTCTCCTTTCCCCTTCTCCTCCCCCTCTCTTTTTCCCTTTTTCTCTCTTTCCCTCCCTCCCCCTCCTTTCCTTCTCTTCCCTCCCTTTCCCCTTCCCCCTCCCTTTCTCCTCCCTCCCCCTTCCTTTCTTCCTCCTTTCTCTCTTTTCTCTCTCCTCTCTCTCTCTTCTCTCCTCCTCCTTTTCCTTCCCCTCTCTCTTCTCTCCTCCTTCCTCCCCTCTTCCTCTTCCCCTTTCCCCTCCCTTCCCTCTCTCTTCCTTTTCTCCCTTCTCCTCTCCTCCCTCCTCTTCCTCCCCTCCTCCCCTTCTCTCCTCTTTTCCCTCCCCCCCCTCTTTCCTCTTTCCCCCCTTCCCCCTTTCCCTCTTTTTTCTTCTTCCTCCCCCTCCCTTCTTCCTTTCCCTCTCCCCTCTTTCCTTTTCCTTCTCTTCCCTCCCTTTTCTCCTCCCTTCCTCCCTCCCTTCCTCCTTTCTTTTCCTCTCTCTCTCCTCCTTTTCTTTTTCCTTCCTTCTCTTTTTCCTTTCTCTTTCTTCTCCCCTCTTTCCTTCTTCTCCCCCTCTTTCCCCTTTTTCCCTCTCCCTTCTCCTTCCTTCCCTTTTTTCCCCCCTTCTCTCCTTCTTCCCCTCTCCTCCCCTCCTTCTCCTCTCTTTTTTCTTTTTCCTTTTTTCCCTTTTTCCCCTCTCTCCCCTCCCCTTCTCTTTTTTTCTTTCTTTTTTTTCCCTTCTTTCCTCCCTCTCCCCTCTTCTTTCCCTCCCTCTCCTCCCTCCTCTTTCTTTCCCCTCTCTTTCCCTTTCTTCTCTCTCTCCTTTTTTTTTTTCTCCTTCCTCTCTTCCTTTTTCCTTCTCTCCCTCTCTCCTCCCTTCCTTCCCTTCCTCTTCCTTCCTTCTCTCCCTCCTCCCCCTCTCCCCCCCTTTCCCTCCCCTCTTTTCTCTCCTCTCTTTTCTCCTCTCCCCTCTTCCCCTTTCTTCCCTCCCCCTCCCCCTTTCTCCTTCTCCCTCCCTCCCTCCCTCCTTTCTCCCCTCCCTTCCCTTCTTCCTTTTCTCCTCTCTCCCCTCCTCCTTCCTTCCCCCCTTCCTTTCCCCCTCCCCCTCCCCCTCCTCCCCTTTCTTCCTTCCTTCTCTTTCTTCTTCTCCTCTCTTTCTCTTCCCCCCCCCTCTCCCCCCCCCCTCCTTCTTCTTCCCTCCCTCTCTCCCCTTTCTTCTCCCTTCCTCCTCCCCTTCCTCCCCCTTTTCTCCTTCCCACCCTTTTCCTTCCTCCCCTCCTCTCTTTTTCTCCTTCCCTCCTTCTTTTTCTCTTCCCCCTTCCTTTCTTTTCCCCTCCCCCCCCCTCCTCCTTCTTTCTCTTCTCTCCTTCCCCCCCCTTTTTTCCTCTTTTTTTCCCTTCCTTTTCCTTCCCTCTTCCCTCTTCCCTTTCTCCTCTCCCCCCTCCTTCCTCTTCCTTTCTTCTCTTTCCCTCTCTTTTCTTCTCTCTTCCTTCCCTTCTCTTCTCTCCTCCCTCCTTTCTCTTCCTCCCTTCCTCCTTTTTCCTCCTCCTTTTTTCTTCCTCCCTCTCTTCCCCCTTCCTTCTTTTCTTCCCTTCTCCTCTCTTTCCCCCTCTTCCCTTCTTTTTCTCCTTCCCTCCTTTTTTCCTTCCTTTCCCCCCCCCCTTCCCTCTCCCTTCCTTCCCCCCCTCTCCCTCTCCTTCCCCCTCTTTCCCTCTCCCCTTTCTTCCTCCTTCTCTCTCCTCCCTCCCCCCCCTTCCCTCCCCTTTCCCTCCCTTCCCCTCTCCTTTCCCTCCTCTCTCCCTCCCTCTCCCTCTCCCCCTCCTCCCTCCCTCTTCCTTTTTCCTTCCTCCTTTTTTTTTCCCCTCTCCCTCTTTCTCTTCCTCCTTCCCCTTCTCCTTTTCTCCCCTCTTCCTCTTCTTTCCTTCCCCCCTCCTCCCTTCTCTCTTCCCCCCTTCCCTCTCTCTCTTTCTTCCCCCCCCCCCCCTTCCCTTCCTTCCCTCCCTTCTCCCTCCTTTCCTTCCTTCCTCCTTTTTCCTCCCTCTTTCTTCTCTTCTTTTTTCTCCCCTTCTCCTTCCTCCCCTCTCCCTTCTTCTTCTTCCCTTCTTCCTTCCCTCCCCCCCCCCCCTCCTCCTCTCTCTCTCTCTTTTCCTCCCCCTCCTTTCCCTCCTTCCCTCTTTTCTTTTCTCTCTCCCCTCTTCTTTTCTCCTTCCTTTTTCTCCTCTCTCCCTCCTTTTCTCTTCCTCCTTTCTCTTTCCTCTCCCTTCTTCTTCCTTCTTTTTTTCTTTCTCCTCCTCTTCTCCCCCCTTCCCCTTTTCCCTTCCCCCCTTCCTTTTTTCCTTTCTTTTCCCTCCTTCTCCTTTTCCTCTCTCCCTCCTCCTCCCCTTTCCCCTTCTTCTCTTTCTCCCCTCCCCTTCCCCTTCTTTCCCTTTCCTCTTCCTCCTTCTTTTCTCTTCCTCCTTCCTTCCTTCCTTTCTCCTTTCCCTCTCTTTCCTCTTCCCCCCTTCCTTCCTTCTTTCCTTCTTTTTCCCCTCTTTTTCCCTTTTCCTTCTTTCTCCTTCCCCTCTCTCTTCCCTTTCCCTTTCTCTCCCCCTTCTTTTTTTCCTCCCTTTCCCCCCTTTTTCCCTTTTCTTCTCTCCCTTTCTCTTCCTCCTCCCTTCCCTCCCTTTTCCTTTCTCTTTCTCTTCTTCTCTTCCCCTCTCCTCTCTCTCTTCCCCCTTTTTCCTCTCCCTTCTCCTCTCCCTCTCCCCCTCCTTTCCTTCCTTCCTTCTTTTTCCCCCCTTTTTCCCTCTCTCTTTTTCTCTTTTCTTCTTTTTTCTTTTCCCTTTCCTTCCCTCCTCTTCCCTTTCCCCTCCCCCTTCCTCCTCTCTTCCTTTCCCTCTCTCTCCCTCTTTCCTCCTTCTCCTCCCTCCCTCCCCCCCTCCTCTTTTCCTCCCCCTTCCCTCCCTCCTCCCTTTCCTCTTCTCTCCCCCCTCCCTCTCTTCCCCCCCTCCTCCCTCTTCTCCCCCTCCCTTTTCCTCTCCCCCTTCTCCTCCTCCCTCCCCCTTCTTCCCCCTTCTTCCCCTTTCCCCTTTCCTCTTCCTCTTTCCTCCCCCTCCCCTCCCTTCTTCCTTCTCCCTTTTTCCTCTTCCCCCCCTTCTCCCCCTTCCCCTTTCCCTTAGCCTTCCTTTTTTTCCCTTCCCCCCTCCTCCTCCCCTCTTCTTCTCTCCTTCCCTTTCTTTCCTCTTCTTCTTCTTTCCCCTTTTTCCCTTTCCTTCCTCTCCCTTTCTTTTCTTCTCTTTCTTCCTTCTTTTCTCTTTTCTCTTTCCCCTTCCCCTCTTTCTTCTTCTCCTTCCCCCCTCCTCCCTTCTTTTCCTCTCCCCCCTCTCCCCCTCCTCCTTCTCCCTCCTTTCTCCTCTCCCCCCTTCTTTCTTCTTTCTTCCTTTCCTTCCTCTCCCTTCCCTTCTCTCCTCTCCTCCTTCCCCCTCCCCCTTCTCCTTTCTTCCCCCTCCCCCTCTCCCCTCTTCCTTTCCCTCTCTCCCCTTCCTCTCCTTCCTTCTTCCTCTCCTCTCCCCCCCTTTTCCCCTCCCCCCCTTCCTCCCCTTCCTTCTTCCTTCTTTCCCTCCCCCCTTCTCTTTCCTTCTTTTCCTTCTCCTTTTCTCTCTCTCTCTTTTTCCCCCCTTCTTTTTTTCTTCTTTTTTTCTTCCTTTTTTCCCTCTCCCTTCCCTCTTCTCTCTTCCTTTCCCCCCCTTCCCCCTCTCTCTTCCTCTTTCTCTTCCTCTCCCTTCCTCTTCTTCCTCCCCCTTTTTTCCTTCCCCCTCTTCCTCTTCCTTCCCCCTTCCCCTTTCTCTCTTCTCTTTTCTTCCTTTTCTCTCCCTTCTTCTTTTTTTCCTCTTCTCCTTCCTCTTCTTTCCTTTTTCCTCCTTCCTCCCTTCCCCTTCTCCCTTCTTTCTTCCCTCTTTTCTTCTTTCTCCTTCCCCCCCTCTCCTCTTCTCTTCCCCCTTCTCCTTCTTCCCTCTCTCTTCCTCTCTCCCTCCCCTTCCCTTCCTCCTTTCTTTCTTTTTCCTCTTTTTTCCCTTTCCCTCTCCCTTCTCTCTCCCTTTCCTCTTCCTTTCTCCTCCTCTCCTTCTCTTTTTCCCCTCTTCCCCTTCTCTCCCTCTTCCCCTCCTCCCTTCTTTCCTTCCCCTCTTCTCCCCTTCTTCTCCCCCCCTCTCTCCTTTTTTCTCCCCCCTCCTTCTCTTCCCCCCTTTCTTTTTTTCCTTCCCTCTCCCTTCCCCCTTCCTCCTTCCTTTTTCCTTCTCTTCCTTTCTTTCTCCCCCTTCCCTTCTCTCTCCCTTCTTTCCCCCTTTCTCTTCCCCCCCCCTCTCTCCCCCCCTTTCTTCTCCTCCCTTCCTCCTTTCTTCCCCCCCCTTTTCCTCCTCTTTTCTTTTTCCCCCTTTTCCCTTCCCTCTTCCTCCTTCTCTCTCTCCCCTTCTTCCCCCCTCCTTCCTTCTTCCTTCTCCTCCTCTTTCCCCCCCTTCCTTCTCCCCCCTTCCCTTTTCCTTTTCCCTCCCCCCCTCCCCCTTTCCTTCCTTCTCCCTTTTCCCCCCTTTCCCTCCTCCTCTCTTCTCCTCCCTCCTTTTTTCTCCTCCTTTCTCTTTTCTTTTTTCCTTCTTCTTTCTCTTCCTTTCCCCCCTTCTTCTTCCCTTTCTCTCCCCTCTCCTCTCTTTCCTCTTCCCCCTCCTTCCTTTTCCTTCCTTCTTCCTCCCCTCCCTCTTTTTCTTCTCCTCCCCCCTTCTTTTTTCCCTTCCTCTCCTCCCCTTTCCCTCCCTTCTTTCCTTTTCTCTTTCCCTCCCTCTCCTCTCTCTCCCTCTTTTTCCCCCCTTCCCCCTTTTTCCCCTCCTCCCCTTTTTTCCTCTCTTTCCTCTTTCCCTTTCCCCTCTCCCTTCCCCCTTCCCCCCCCTTCTTCTCCCTCCCCCCCCCTCCTCCCTCTCTCTTCCTCTTTTTCCCCTTCCTCCTTCTCTTTTTTTCTTTTTCTCCTCTCCCTCCTCTCCTCCCCCTCCTTCTCCTTTTTCTCCTCTCCCCTTCCTTTTTTCCTCCCCCCCTTCCTCCCTTCTCCCTCTCCTTCCCCTCCTTTCTCCTCCTCCTTTTCCTCCCTCTCCCTCCTCCCTCTCTCTTCCTTTTCTCCCTTTCCCCTTTTCCTCCTTCTTCCTTTCTCTCTTCTTTCTCTTCTTCCTCCTTCTTCCTCCTCTCTCTTCTCCCCCCTCCTCCTCCTCCCCCCCTCCCTTCCCTCCCTTTTTCTTTCCTTCCCCCCCTCTTCCCCTCTTTCTTCCCCTCCCCCTTCTCCTCTTCTCCCTCTCCTTCTCCCTCCCTCCCTCCCTCCCCCCCTTCCCTTTCTTTTTTTCCCCTTCTCCCTCCCCCTCCTCCCCCCTCCCCTTCTTTCTTCTTTCTTCCCCCTCTCCCCTCTCCCCCCCCCCCCCCCCTCTTTTTCCCCCCCCCTTTCCTCCTTCCTCTTCCTTCCTCCTCCTCTTTTTCCTTCCCTTTCCCTTTTTCTCCCCTCCTCTCCTCTTCTTTCTTCCCCTCTTCCTTCCCTCCCTTCTCCTCTTCCTCCCCCCTTCCTCTCTTCCCCCTTTTCCCCTTTTCCCCCTCTTTCCCTCTCTTTCCCTCCTTTCCCTTCCCCTTTCCTTTCCTTCTCTCTCCTTTCCTCTCTTCTTCCCTTCCCCTCTCCCCTTTCTTCTCCTTCTTCCTTCTTCTTTTCTCTTCCTCCCCTTTCTTTTCTTCTTTTTTTCCCTCTCCCCTCCCCCCTTCCCCCCTTCTTCTTCCTTCTCCTTCCTCTCCCTCCTCTTTTTTCTCTCTCTCTCCTTCCCTCTTTTTTTTTCTTCCTCCTCCCTCTTCCCCCTTCTCTTCCCCCCCTCCCTTCCTCTCCTTTCTCTTCTCCTTCTTTCTTTTTTCTCTTCCTCCCCTCTTTCCTTCTCCTCTTCCTCTCTTCCTCTCCCCCCCCTCCTTTCCTCCCCCCCTTTCCCTTTCCCTCTCCTTTCCTTCTTTTCCTTCCTTCCCCCTTTCCCCTCCTCTCCCCTCCTTTCTCTTCTTCCCCTTCCCCCCCCCCCTTCCCCCTTTTCCCTTCCTTCTTTTCCTCTCCTTCTTCTTCCCCCTTCCCTCCTCTTTCTTTCCCTTTCCCCTCCCTTCCCCCCTTTCCTTTTCCTTTTTCCTCCCCCCTTTTTCTTTTTTTTTCTCTCTTTTCTTTCCTCCCTTCTTCTCCTCCCTCCTTCCCCCCTCCTCTTCCCCTCCCTCCCCCCCCTCCTTCTCCTCCCCCTCCCCTTTCCCTTCCTTCCTCTCTTCCTTTTTTTTTTCCTTCCTTCTCCCCCCTTTTTTCCTTTTTTTCCTTTTTTTCTCCCTTCTTCCCCTTCCTCTCCTCCCCTCTTCTCCCTCCCCTCTCCCTCCTTCCCTCCTTTTTTCTTTCTTCCTTCTCTCTCCTCCTCTCCTCTCCCCTTCCTTCCCTTTTTCTTTCCCTTCTTTTCCTTTCCTTTTCCTTTTTTCCTTTTTCCCCCTCCCCTCCTTTTTTCTTCTTCCTCCTCTTCTCTCCTTCTTTCTTCCTCCTCCCTCTTCTCTCCCTCTCTTCCTTCCCTTCTCCCCTCCTCCTCCCCCTTTCTCCCCTCCCTCTTCCTCTCCTCCCTCCTCCCTCCTCTCTCCCCCCCTTTCCTTTCCCCCCCTTCTCTCTTTCTTCCCCCCCCCTCTTCTTCCCTCTCTTCCTCCTTCTCCCCCTTCTCCTTTCCCTCTTCCTTCCCCCTTCCCCCTCCTCTCTTCCCTCCCTTCCTCCCTTTCTCTTCCTCCCCTCCCCCCCCCCCCCCCTCCCCCTCTTTCTTCTTCTCCCTTCCCTCCCTCTTCCCCTTCTCTCCTCTTTCCCCCCTCTCTTCTCTCCCCCTCTCTTCTCCTTCCCCTCTCTCTTCCTTCCTCCCCTTTCTCTTTTCTTTTTTTTCTTCCTTTTTTCCTTCTCCCTCCCCTCCCCCCTTCTTTCCCCCCCCCTCTTCCCCCTTTTCTTCCCTCCCTTCCCCCCTCCCTCCTTCCTTTCTTCTTCTTTCTTTCCTCCTCTTTCCTTCCTCCTCTCCCTCTCTTTCCTTTTTTTCCTTCCCCCCTCTTCCTTCTTTTCCCTTCTTCTTCCTTCTCCCCTCCTCCTTCTCCTCCCTCCCTCTCCTCCCCTCCTCCTTTCTTCCCCCCTCTTTTCTCCCTCCCTCCTTCTCCCTCCTTCTCTCCTCCTCCTCCCTTCTTTTCTCTCTTCCCTCTCTTTTCCTCCCTTTCTTCCCTTTTTTTCCCTTCTCCCTTCTTCTTCTTCCCCTTTTTCTTCTTCCTTCTTCTTTCCCCCTTCCCCCTCCTCCCCTTCCCCTCCTCTCTCCCCCCTTCTTCTTTCCCCTCTCTCTTCCCCCTCTCTTCCCCCTTTCTCCTCCTTTCTTCCTTTTTTCTTTTTCCCCCCTTCTCCCCCCTTCCCCCCTCTCTTCTTTCTTCTCTTTTCCCCCCCTTCCCTCCTTTTCCCCTTTTTCTTCTTCCCTTTCTTTTCTTTTTTTTTCTTCCCCCCTTCCTCCCCCCCCTTCTTCTTTTTTTTTTTTTCTTCCTCCTTTCCTCTCTTTCTCTCTCCTCCTCCTTCTCCTTTCTTTCTCCTCCCTTTCCCCTTCCTTTTTTCTTTCCTCTCCCTTCCCTTCTTCCCTTCTCCTCTTTCTCTTTCCTTCTTCCTTCTTCCCCTTCCCCTCCTCTTCTTCTCCTCTTCCCCTCTTCCCTTCCCTCCTTCTCTTCTTCTCCTCTCCTCTCCTCCTCTCCTTCCTTCTTCCTTTCCTCCCCTTCCCCTTCCTCTCCTTCCTTCTCCTTTCCTCTCTTTTTCCCCTTCTTCCCCTTCCCTTCTCCTTTCTTCTTTTCTTCTCCTTCTCTCCCTTCCTCCTTCCCTTTTCTTTCCTCTCTCTCCCTCCTCCTTCTTCTTCCCCCTTCCCCCCCCCCTCCCCCCCCCCCCCTCCCTTTTCTTCCTTTCTTCCTCCTTCCCTTTTTTTTCCCCTCTCTTCCCCCTCTTCCTTCCCTTTCTTTTTCCTTCCCTTTTTCCCTTCTTCCTCCCCCCCCCCCCCCCTTCCCTTCCTCCTTCCCTTTTCCTTTTTTTCCTTCTCTTTCCTTTTTTTCCCTCTTCCTTCTTTCTTTCCTTTTTTCTTCCCTCCTCTCCCTTTTCCCCTCTTCCTCTTTTCCTCCTCTTCCCCCTTCCTCTTTTCCTTCTTCCTTCTCTTCCCTCCCTCTTCCTCTTTTCCCCCTTCTTCCCTCCTTCCTCTTTTTTTCCTCCTCTCCTTCTCTCCCCCCCCTTTCCCTCTCCTTCCCTCCTCCCTCTTCTTTCTCCTCTTCCTTCTCCCTCTCTCTCCCTTTTCCCTCCCCTCTCTCCTCTTCTCCTCCTCTCCCCTCCCCCTTTCCCTCCCCCCCCCCCCCCCCCTTCCTTTCTTTCTCCTTTCTTCTCCTTCTTCTTCTTTCCCCTCCTCTTTCTTTCCTCCCCCCTCCGCTCCTCTCTCCCCCCTCCTCCTCTCCTTTCCTTTCCCCTTTTCCTTCCCCCCTCCTTCTCTCTTCTTCTCCCCTTTCTTCTCCCCTCTCCCTCCTCCCCCCCCCCCCTCCCCCTCCTCCTCTTCCTCCTTCCTCCCTTCCTCCCCCCCTTCCTTTCTCCTCTCCTCTCTCTCTCCCTCTTCCCTCCTCCCTCCCTCTCTCTTCTCTCCCTCCTCCCTCCCTTCCCCCCCCCCCTCCCTCCTCCTCCCTCTCTCTCCCTCCTCCTCTCCTCTCTTCTTCTCTTTCTTTCTTTTTTCCTCCTCCTTCCCCTTTCTCCCCTTCCTTCTCCTCTCCTTTCTCTTCCCCCCTTTCTCCTTTCTCCTTCCTTCTCCCCTTCTCTTCCTCTTTCCCTCCTCCCCTTTCTCCTCCCTCCTTCCTTCCTCCTTCCTTCCTTCCTCCCTCCCCCCCTTCCTCTCTCCCCCTTCCCTCCTTTCTTTCTTCTTCCTTCTTCCCCTCTTCCTTCCCTCCTCCCTTTTCTCTCTTCCTCCTTCCTCCCCCTTTCTTCTCCCCCTCCTTCCCCCCTCTTCCCTTCTCTTTCCCCTTCTCCCTTCCTCTTTCCCTCCTCCTCTCCTCCTCTTCTCCTTTCCCTCCTCCCCTTCTCCCTTTCTCCTCCTTCCTCTTCCCTCTCTTTTCTCTTTCTCCTCCTCTTTCTTCTTCCTCCCCCCCTCTCCCTTTTTTCTCCCCCTTTTTTCCTTCTTTCCTTCTCTCTCCTCTCTCCTCTTCCTCTTCCTCTTCTCCCTTTCTTCCTCCCGTTCCTTCTTCTTCCCCTTCCCCCCTTCTTCTTTCCTCCCCTTCCTCTTTCCTTCTTCTTCTTCTCCCGTCCTTTCCCTTCTTTCTCCTCCTTTTTTTCCTTCCCTTTCCTCCCCCTTTTTCCTCCTTCTCCCCCTCCTTCCCTTCCCTCTCTTCCCTTCCCTTCTCCTCCCCCTCCCCCTCCCCCCTTCCTCTTTTCCTCCCTTTCCTCTCTCCTCTTCCTCTCCTCTTCCTCCTCCTTCCTCTTTCCCTCTTTCTTTCCCCTCCTTCTTCTTCCTCCTCTCTTCCCCCTCCCTCTTCTTTTTTTCTTTTCCTTTCCGTTTCTCTCTCTCTCTTTTCCCTCCCTTTTTCCTCCTCCCCTCTTCTCTCTCCTTCTCCTCTCCCTCTTTCTTTTTTCTCCTTCTTTCCTCCCCTTTCTTTCCTTCTTTTTTTCCCCCCTTTTCCCCCTTCTCCCCCCTCTCCTCCTTTTCCCCTCTTCCTCTCTTCTTCCCTTCCTCCTCTCTCTCTCTCTTCTCTTCTCTCTCCTCCCTCTCCCCCTTTCTCCTCCCTTTTTCTCCCTCCTCTCCCTCTCCCTTTCTCCTTCTTCCTCCTCCCTCCCTCCCCCCCCCCCCCCCCTCTCCTCCTTCTTCTTCTCCTTTCCTTCTTTTCTTCCTCCTTCCTTTCCCTCTTCCCTCCCCCCTTTTTCCCCCTCTTTCGGGTCTCCCCCCCTCGCTCCTCTTTCCCTCTTTCCTTCCCCTCCTCCCCTCCCTTCTCCCCTTCTTCTCCTCCCCCCCCCTTCTTCTTCCTTTTTCTTCCCCTTCTCCTCTCTCTTTCCCTCCTCCTTTCCCTTCTTCCTTCCCTCTTTTTCCCCCCCTTCTCCCTTCCTCCCCCTCTCCTCTCCCTCCCTCCCTTTCCCTCCCTTTTCCCTCTCTTTCCCCTTCCCCCCTTCTCCTTCTTTCCCCTTTCTCCTCCCCCCCTCTCCTCCTCCTTTTAGACCCCTTTCTTTCCTCCCTTTCTTCTTCTCTCCTCTCCTCTCCTTCCCCTCTCTCCCCTCCCCCTTCTCTTTCTTCCCCTCTCTCTCCCCTTTTCCTCCTTCTCCTCGGAGGGCAAGGACCCTCCCCTATCTTCTCTCTTCCTCTCTTCCTCCCAATCTCCTTCCTCTTTTCCTTCCGATTCTTTCCTTTCTCTCTTTTCCTTTCTTTTTTTTTCCCAAGAAGTCCTTTTCTCTTTCTTCCTCCCTTTTTTTCCCCTTCGAGCTTCTCCCTTCCTTCTTTCCAGGGGAGAAGCCTTTTTCCTCCCTCCTTCTCTTCTTCTCTTTCTTCTCTTTCCCTCCTCTTCCCAGGAGGACTTTCTTTCCTCCCCTTCTTTCCTTTTCTTCCCTTCCGCTTTCTTTTCTCCCCTCCCCCTCCTCCCCTCTTCCTTTCTCTCTCCTTCCTTCCTCCCTCTTCTCTCCTTCTCTTTCTCCCTTCTTTCCCCTCCTTTCTTTCCTCCTCTCTTCCCCCCCTCCTTCTTTCTCTTTCCCCTCCTCCCCTTTCCCTTTCCTCCCTCTCCTTCCTTCTCTTCGGAAAGAGAAATCCTCTCTCTCTTCTCCTCTTCCCCTTCCCCCTTTCCCTCCTCCTTCCTCCCCTTAGAAGCTTCTCTTCCTCCTTTTCCTTCTTCCCTTCCCCTTCCCTTTTTCTATTCTTCTTTCTCTTTCTCCCCTTCTTCCCTTCTCTCCCTCCCTCCTCCCTCTTTTCTTCTTCTCTCTTCTTTCTCCTTTTCTCTCCCTTCTCCGCCCCTTTTCTTCTTCCTCTTCTCTTTCCTTTCTCTTCTTTTCTTCTCCCTTCCCCCTTTCTAAGGAAACCTCCCTTTCCTCCTCTTTCCTCTTTTTCTTCTCCCTTCCTCTCCCTCTTCCCTTCCTTCTCTTCTTTCCTTTCCTCCTTTCCTCCCTTCCTTTCTCCCCTCTTCTCTTTCTTTCCTTCTTTCTTCCTCCTTTTCTTTTCTCTCTTCTTCTCCTTACTTCTTCTTCTTTTCTTCCTTCTTTTTCCCTTCCTCCTTTCCTCTTCTTCCTCCCCTCCCCTCTTTTTCCTCTCTTCCCCCTCCTCTTTTTCTTCTTTCTTCCTCCTCCCCCTTTTTCTCTCTCCTCCCCTCCCTCCTCTCTTCTCTTTCCCCTTCCCTCTTTTCTTCTCCTTTTTCTTCCTTCTTCTTCCTTCCTCTTCCTCTTCTTCCTCTTTCCTCTCTTCTTTCTCCCTTCCTTCTTTCCCCTTTTCTTCCCTTCCTTCTTCCTCTTTTTTCTCCCCTCTCCTTCCTCTTCCTCCCCCCTCTTCCTCCTTCCCCTTCCCCCCCTTTCTCTTTCTTCCCTTCTATTTCCTCTCTCTCTTCCTTCTTCTCTTTTCTTCCCTTCTTTCCCCTCTTCCTTTTCTCCCCTCTTCTTCTTTTTTTCCTTTCCCTCCTCTCTTCTTTCCTCTCCTCCCCTTCCCTTCCTCTCTTTTCTTTCCTCTTTTATCTTCCGTTCTTCTTTCCCCCTTCCTTCCCCTCTTCTCTTCCTTTTCCTCCTTTCTCTTCCTTCCTTTTTTTTTTCTTCTTCCTTCCGCTTCTTCTTCTTTCTTTTTCCTTTCTTTCCCTTATCCTCTTCCTTCTCCTTCCTCCTCCCTTCTCTTCGGAAGAGAAGGGAAAAAAGAGGAAAAAGGGGAATCCCTTTTTTATCTCTTCTTCCTTCCCTCCTTTTCTTTCCCCCTTCCCTTCTTCCCTTCCCTTCCCTTCTTTTCTCTCCTTTCCCCTCTTTTCTCCTCTTTCTTTCTTCTTTCTTCCCTTCCCTTTTTCCCTTCCCTCCTCCTTTAAATTTCCCTCAAGAGGAATTCAAAAAGTGCTTTCCCCCCCTTCTAGTCCCTTCCTTCCCCTCCCTTTCCTCTCTTTTTCCCCGCTTTCCTCTCTTCTTATTCCTTTCCCTTTTCTTTAAGAGGAGTCCTTCTCTCTTCCTTCTCCTTTCCTCTCTCTCCCCTTCTTTCCTCTCCTTCCCCTTCTCTCCCCCCTTCCTTCCCTTTCCCCCTCTTTCCTCTCTCTCTTTCCTCTCTTCACCCTCCCTTCCCCCACCCCCTTATCTCGCCACCTTTCTTCTCCTTTCCGGGATTTTTTCCCCCCTTTAAATTTAACTTCTTTCTTTCCTCTTCCCCCCGCCCCCCTCCTCCCCTTCTTCCCCGTTTCCTTTCCTTCCTTTCTTTTCCTTCCTTCTATCTTCCCCCCTCCTTAAGTTCCCCTTTTTCTTCTTCTCTCCCTTCTTCCCTCCTTTTTTCCTCTTCTCCCCCTTTCTTCTTTCTTCTTTTCTTTCCCTCTCCTTCCTTCTTTCCTTTCTTCTTCCCCCCCTCTTTATTCCCTCCTTCCTCCCCTCCCCTTTTTCTCCCTTCTCTTTTCTTTTTTTTCTCTCCCCCTTCTTCTTCTCTTTTCTTCTCCTCTTCCTTCCCTTTCCTCCTTTCCTTCCTTCTTATTAAAAATTCCCTCTTTCCCCTTTTTTTCTCCCTTTCTTCCCTTCTCCCTTCCTTCCTCCTTCCTCCCCCTCTTTCTTTTTTCTCCTTTCCCTTCCCTTTCCTTCCCCTCTTCCCTTTCTCCCCCCTTCCCCTCCCTCCTTCCCTTCTCCCCTCCCCCTCTCTTCCTTTCCTTCTCCTTCCTCTCCCTTTTCTTCCCTCCTCTCCTCTTCCTCCCTTTCCTTTCTTTTTCCGCCCCTCCCCTCTCCTCCCCCCCTTCTTTCTTCTCCCCCTCCTTCCCTCCCTTTCCTTCTTCTCCTTTTCTTTTCTTTCTCTCTTTTTCCCTTCTCCCCTCTCTTCCTCCTTTCCCTTTCCCTTTTCCTTCTTCCTTCTCTTCTCCTCTCTTTCCTTCCCTTCCCCTCTTTCCTTCTCCCGCCTCCCTCCCCCCCTTCTCCCCCTTCCCTTCCCTTTTCCCCCTCCTTCCTCCTCCCTCTCCGTTCCCTCTTCCCCCTCTCTTCCCCCCTTCTTTTCCTCCTTCCTCTTCCCTTCCCCTCCCCCTCCTCTCTCTCCCCTTCTCTTTCTCTCCCTCTCCCCCTTTTCCTCCCCCTCCTTCCCTCCTTTCTTCCCTCCTCCCTTCTCCCCTTTCCTCCCCCTCCCTTCTCTTCCTCTTCTCCCTTTCCCCTTCCTCCCTTCCCCCTTCCCCCCTTCTTTCTCTTCTCTTCTTCTCCCTCCCCCTCCCCTTCCTCCCTCTCCCTTCTTCCCTCTTCCTCCCCCCCTCTCTCTTTCCCCCTTCCTTTCTTCCTCTTCCTCTTCTTCCTTCCTCTCCTTTCTCCCTTCTTCTCCCCCCCTTCCTTCCCCCCTTCCTTCCCTTCCTCTCTCTTTTTCTTTCCTCCTTCCTCCCCCTCCTCCTTCTCTTCTCCCTTTTTTTTTTTTTCCCCCCTCCTCCTTCCTTTTCTCTTCCTCTCCCTCCTCTCCTCTTCCTTCTCTCTTTCTCCTCCTCTCTTTCTCCTCTTCCTTTCCCCTCTTCCTTTCCTCTTTTTCTCTTCCCCCCCTCTTTCCTCCCCTCTCCTTCTTCTTCCTCCTCTCCTTCCTCTTCCTTCCCTCTTTCCTCCTTTTTCTCTCCCTTCCTCCCCTCTTCTCCCCTTCCTTCTCCCTTCTTTTTTCCTTCTCCTTCCCTTTCCTTCCCTCTTTCTTTCCTCCCTCTCTTTCTCCCTTCCCCTTTCCTCTTCTCCCCCCCTCCTCTTCCTCCTCCTCCCTCCCTCCTCCTTTCCTCTCCCGTCCTTCTTCCCCTCCTCTTTCTCTTCCCCTTCTCCCTTCTCTTCTCCCCTTTCCCCCTTCCCCTCTTTTCCCTCCCCTCTTTCTCTTTCCTCCCCCTTCCTCTTTTTCCCCCCTTCCCCTTTTCTTTTTCCCCTTTTCTTTCTTCCCCTCCTCCTCCCCTTCCTTTCTCCCTTCCCCCTTCCCTTCTTCCTCCCCGCCTTCTTCTTCCTCCCCCTCCCTCCTTCCTTCTCCTTCTCCCCCCCCTTTTCCTTCCTTTTCTTCTCCCCCCCCTTCTTCTCCTCTTTCTCTCCCCTTTTCCCCTCTTGCTTTCCTCCTCCCCTTTCTTTTCTTCCTCCTTCCTTTCCTTTTCTTCTCCTCCTTCTCTTCCCCTTTCTTCTCCTCCTCCTCCTCCCCCCCTCCTTCCTCCTCCTCCCTCCCCCTCCTCTCCTCCTCCTCCCTCCCCCTCCTCTTCCTTTCCTTTCCCCTTCCTTCTTCTCCTCTTCTCCTCCCCTCCTCTCTCCTCTTCTTCCTCCCTCTCTCTTTCCCCCTCCCTCCCCTTCCTCTCCCGTTTCTCCTTCTTCCTCCTCCTTCCCCTCCCTCTTTTTCCTCCTTTCTTCTTCCCCCCTTTTTTTCCCCCCCCCCCTTTCTCCTCCTCTTCTCTCCCCCCCCCCCCCCCCTCCTCCTTCTCTTTTCCTCCTTCCTCCTCCCTCTTCTCCTCCCGCCCTCTCTCTCTCTTCCTTCTCTCCCCCTCCCCTTTCTCCTCCCCCCCCTTCCCCTTTCTTTCCCTTCCTTTTCCCCCTCCCCCCCTTCCTCTTCTCCCCTCCTCTCCTCCTTCTCCCGCCCGCTTTTCCTCTTTTTCTCCTTCCTTTTTTTCTTCCCCCTCCTTTTCCCTCCCCTCCTCCTCCTCCCTTCTCTCTTCCCTCTCCTCTTTTCCTTCCTTCCGTTTTCCCCCCCCCGCCTTCTCCCTCTTCTCTCCCTCCTTCCCTCTCTCTCTCTTCCTCCCTCTCTCCCGTCCCTCTCTCCCTCCTCCTTCTCCTTCCCCTCTCTCCCCCCCTCCCTTCTCTTTCTTCCTCTTTCCCCTCTCCTCCTCCCCCCCTTCCTCTTTCTCTCCTCTTCCCTCCTTCTCCCTTTCTTCCCCTCCCCTCCCCCTCTTTTTCCCCTCTCTCTCCTTCCTCCTTCCCGCCCCTTTTCTCCTTCTTCTTCCCTCCCTCTCCTTTCCTTCCCCCTTTTTCCCCCCTCCTCCCCTCCCTCCCTCCCTCCCTCCCCCCCTCCCCTTTCTCTTTTCCTTTCTCTCTCCTCTTCTTCTTCTTTCCCCTTCTCCTCTCCTCTCTCCCCTTTCCCTCCTTCCCTCCCTCTTCCCCCCCCTTCTCTCCCTTTCCCCTTTTCTCCCCCCCTCTCTCTTTCCTCCTCCCTTCTTTCCCCCTCCTCTCCCCTTTTCTCCCCCCTTTTCCTTCTTCTCCCTCCCCTTCTCCCCTCCCGTTTTTCTCCCCTCTTCTTCTCCTCTCCTTCTTCTCTTTTCCCCCTCTTTTTTCCCCCCCCCGTCCCTCTCTTTCCGTTCTTCCTCCTCCTCTTCTCTCCCCCTCTCTTCCTTCTCCCCCCCTCTCTCTCTCTTCTTTCCCTCCCCCCCTTCTTTTCCCGTTCCCCTCCCTCCCTCTCTTCTCTCCCTTTTCTTTTCTTTCCCCCCCTTCTTCTTTTTCTCCCCTCCCTCCCCCTCTCTCTCTCCTCCCCGTTTTTTTCCCCTCTTTTTCCTTCCGCTTCCTTTCTTTTTTCTTCCTCCTCTTCCCCCCCCCCGCCTTCTCCTCTTTCCCCCTTTCCTTTCCCCCTTCCCTTTCTTCCCCTCTTCCGGCCCTCTTTTCCCTCCCTCTCTCCCCCTTCCCTCCCGCCCTTCTCTTCTTCCTCCTCTCCCCCCCCGTCTCCCGTTCTTCTCTTCTTTTTCCTCCTTCCTCCTCCCCCCTTTCTTTCCCCTTCCTCCTCCTCCTCCTCCCCCCTCTCCTCCCCCTTTCTTCTTCTTTCCCCTCCTTTCCTCTTCTTCTCCTTTCCCCCCTCCCTTTTCCGGCCCCCCTCCCCTTTTCTCTTCTTTTCCCTCCCTTTCCTCTTCTCTCCTCTCCTCCCCCCCCCCCTCCCCTCCTCTTTTCTCTCCTCCCCTCCCTCTTCCCCCGTTCCTCCCGCCTTCCTCTCCCCCTCCCTTCCCTCTCTCTCTTCTCTTCTCCCCCCCCTTCTTCTCCTCTCTTCTTTTCTTTTCTTTCTCTCTCCTCCCTCCCCCTTCTTCTCCTCCCCCTTCCCCCTCCTTTTCTTTCTTTCTTTTTCCCCCCTCCTCTTCCTTCCCTTTTCCCCCCTTTTTCCCCCCCTCCGGTTTTCTTTTCTTCTTCTCCCCTCCCTCTCCTCCCCCTTTCCCGCCCTCCCCCTCTTTTTTTCCCTTTCTCCTCCCGTCCCCTTTTCCTTTTTTCCTCTTCCTCCCCTCCTTTTCTCTCCCTCCCCCCCCTCCCCCTCCCCCCCCCCTTCCTTCTCTTCCTTCTCTTTCCTTTTTCCTTCCTCTTCTCCTCTCCTTTCTCCGCTTTTTTCCTTTCCTTCCCTTCCCTTCCCTTTTTCCTTCCTCCCCTTCTTTTCCTCCCTTCCTTCCCCCCCTCCCCCCCCTTCTCCCCCTCTCCTTCCCCCCCCTCCCTTCTCTCCTCTTTTTTTTCCCCCTCCTTCCCCCCGTTTCCTCCTTCTTCTTTCTTTTTCTTCTCCTTTCCTCTCCCCTCCCCTCCCCTCCCTTTCTTCTTTTTTCCTCCTCCCTCCTCTTTCTTCTCCTTTTTCCCCCTCCCTTCTCCTCTCCCTCCCTCTCTCCTCTCCTCCCCTCCCTCCCGTTTCCCTCCTCCTCCCCCTCCTCTCTCCCCCTTCCCTCCCCTTCCTCCTTCTCTCCCTTTTCCTTCTCTTCTTCTTCCTTTCGCTTTTCTCTCCTTCCTCCTCCCTCCCTCCCGTCTCTCCTTCCTTTTCGCTCTCCTCTCCCGCCTCGGTTGCCGCCCCGCTCTCCCCTTCCCTTGTTTCGCTCTCCGCTAGCTCTGGTCCTTTCTCCTCCGGGCATATCCCCGCCAGCTAGCAACCAGCTAATAGTAACTAGCCCTGCTAGATAATAAAACTAAGGGAAACCCTTAAGACCCTTTAAATTTATATATTGCTTATAACGCACTTATTATATAAGCATATTATATATAATACTTATATATATTATTTTTATATTAATAGTCTTTTATATATATATATATATATATGCTTTAAAATTATGCTTTTCCATTAAATTATTACTTAATTAATTAAATTACTTAATTAATATAAATATCTTATTTTTTAAGGAGCTATAAAGGGCTAAGTACCTTATAATTATTGCTTTAAGGAGTTAAGTGTAAGTATTTAAGTGCAAGTATTTAAGTGCAAGTATTTAAGTATAAGTATTTAAGTGCAAGTATTTAAGTATAAGTATTTAAGTACAAGTGTATTTAAATGCTTTAAATGTTTAAATTACTTAAATTACTTAATTAAATTATTTAATTATTAATACTTTAAAGCTTTAAAATATTTAAATATTATACTTTAATTAATTAAAAGTTTAAGTTATAATTATTAGCTTAATTATTATTATTATTAAAATATTTATTAAAATAATTATTATAAATATTATTAAGGTTATTACTTAATGCTAAGTAATTATCCTTTTTTTTAAATTATAATTATTTTTATAAAAAGTATAATAATTATTATTTTAAATAGTTTCCTTTTAATTATTTCTTTATCCTTTTAATAATTCTTAATTATTATTTATTAAAGCTTATAATAACGTTAATTATATGCTTAGCTTTCCTTAAGGCTATAATAATAATAATAGCTGCTAATATTATTAAAGCTTTAATAATTTTAATATTTTATATGCATAATATAATTAATTAAATAATATAAAAGGGTATTTTTATTAATATACTTAATGGCCTTATAAAAAAGGAGGCTATTAAGAAGAAGTTAGCTAAGGAGGAGGTTAATGAAAAGTAACTTATTAAGGATAAGTTAATTATAAAGAAGGCTATGATTGCCTTTAAGGCTATTAAGAAGAAATTAGCTAAGGAGAAGTATTAAAATCATTAGCATTATTAGCATTACTTGCTAATTTATTGCAATAAATATTAAAGATATATGCCTTTAGCTTATATTTTAATTTAAATATTAAGTTATATTATTAATAAATAACGTTTTTATATTGTGCATTTATAGCTTTTATAAATAACTTTATTGTTATAATTTAAGGATTTATAAATGCTTATAAATAGCGCTTAAGGGAAGATAATTGCTTTTAAAGGGTTTTTAAGGAGGATTAAATAGCTAGGGGGTAAGGGCTTTCTTATAATTAATAGCAAGCATTATTGCTATTAAGGTTATTGCTATTATTATTAAGGTAAATCTTAAGATAGTTAATTATAAGGTAAAGAAAAAGGAAAGAAAATATTCTTTTATTATGTTTATAAATTAATAATTAGCTTTTAAATTATTTACTTATAAGTAATAGCGCTTAAATGCTATTATTACTTAGTAAATTAACTTATATTAATTCTTAAGGATATTTAATATTAAAAATTATTATTGCTAAAAAGAAAAGAAAAAAAGAAAGGTAATAAAAGTATAAGGAAAAGGAAAAAAAGGGTATAAAAAAGAAAGATTATGCTTATTAATTAAATATTAATTATTATTAAAAGGTAAATATTTTAAAAATTTAATTAAGTTATTTATATAGCTAAATTAATAATAAATATTTATTATTTCTCTTAATAATTTTAAGTTAATTAAATAAATAAGATAATTATATTAATTATTTATTTTTATTAATATTTTTTAAAGTATTTAATTAAAATATATTAATTAAGTATATAAATTAATTAAAAGAAATATTATTTATTAATACTTTAAAGCTTTAAAGTACTTTAAGTTTTATTAAGTACTTAAGGGGTTTTTAAAAGGTTATAGGCGTTAAGGATATTATATAAGTACCTTAAGGGGCATTAATTGCAAATAAGGGCTTTTAAGGGCTTAAAAGTATTATAATATTGCAAAAAGGGCTTAAGGGTATGTTAATTATAAGCATAAGGGCATTAATAATTAAGAGTATTGCAAGGAATTTTTTAATAGTTAAGAAAGGTTGCAAGGGCTTAAGAATATTATAAGGGAAACTTTTAATATAATATTTTTAATTATGCTTAATAAAGAAGTTAAAGGGGTTAATCTTTTATACTTATAAATGCTTATAAATAGCTTTTTTATAAGGATTTTATATTTATAAATATTTATAAATAACTTTTTATAAAAGTATTATAAGTTTTTATTATTTATAAATGCTTATAAATAACTTTTAAGGATTTAATTATTTATACTTGCTAAGTAAGCATTAATTAATATTAATTTAACTTTTATATAATTAATAATAAATAAATAAAATATATAATTAATTTTAATTATAATATAAAAAGTAAATTATAATAAAGCTATAATTTTTCCTTATTTAATTATAAGTTAATTATAATAATTTATATATAAAGCATATAATTATTAATTAATAACTAGCTAATACTAACTAGCAGCTATTATTAATAAGATTAATTTAAACTTTATACCTTTAAATTTATGCATTGCTTGTAACGTACTTATTACATAAGCACGTTATATTTAATGCTTATATATATTATTCTTATAATTATAATAAATTTAAATAAACTTTAATTAAAAAATATAAATTATATTATTAAAGCTTAAATATAATAAAATATAATAATAAAAAATTTATAAAATAAAGTTTTTTATAATTATTAAATAAATAAGCTTAAATTTAAAATTATTATTTATTAAAATTAATAAAATTATTTTTATTATAAAATAATAATTAAGCTTTTTAAAAAATATAAAAAGAAAATAAATATTTTTATTTATAAATATTTTTTAAAAATAATTATTATTTTATTTATTAATAATTTTTATATAATTAAATATTTTATAAAATATTTAATTTAATAAAATAAATATAATATATATATAATATTAAAAAAGCTTTTAATAAAATAAAAAATAATAAAATATTAAGTAAAATTTTATTTAATATTAAATTTTTAAAAATTTAAAATTTATAAAATTATTATAATTTTTATTTAAAATAATTTTTAAATTAAATAGTTTTTAATAAATTTTTAATAAAATATAATAATTATATTAAAAAAATTTAAAAAAAAATTATTAAAAATTTATAAATAAAAAATTAAAAATTAATTATTTTTTTAATAATTTAATAAAAATTATAAAAATTATAAAAATATTTTCCCAGCTATTATTAAAAGATTAAATCTCCCAATTTTAAAAAAATATAATATAAAATTTATAATATAAATAATTATAAATTTTATTTTTCCCCCTCTAATAATATTATAAAATAATTTTAATTTTTATCCTTTTTTTTATTCCCCCTATTTATAAATTATTCCCTTTTCCCTTCCCTCTAAAGTTTCTCTTATTTTTTATTTTTTTTCCTAAATTAATCTAAATTATATTAATTCTCCCCCCCTATTAAAGTTCTTTTCCCTCTATATAATAAAAGTTTTATCAAACCTTTTTTTTTTTTTTTATTCCTATATTATTTCTATTCTATTATTTTCTTCCTCCTTATCTCCTAATTTTTAATCCTCCTCCTCCTATAATCCTCTTCTTCCCCCCCTTATCCCCTCTTTTCCCCCCCTCTAAATCCTTTATCCCCCCTCCCTCTTCCCTCTCCTTTTTTTTTAAATATTTTCCCCCCTCCTCTTATCCTCTCCTCTCTCTTTCTAATCTCTCTTCCTCTATATAAACCTTTCTCTCCTCTCCCCCTTATTCTATTTTCCCTCTTTTCTCCCTCTCTCTCCCTCCCCATTCTTATTTCCCCTCCTTCTCCTTCTTCTCTCTTCTTAAAAAAAATTTCCCCTCCCCTTCCTCTTTTTTAATCCTCCTTTTCCCTCCCCTCTTTTTCTTCCTCTATTCTTCTCCCTTATTCTTCCCTTTTAAATCCTAATCCCTCTCCTCCCTTCCTTTCCTTTTCTTCCCCCTATCTTTTCCCTCTTCCCTTTCTTCCCCCTTCTCCCTCCTTTTCTCTTCCTCCTCTCCCCTCTCCTCCCCCCTTCTCCTTTTCCCCTCCTTCCCTCTCCCTCTTATAAAAATTTTTTTCTCCCTCCTCCCTCTTCTCTTACCCCCGTTCCTTTCCCTTCTCCCGCCCTTCTCCCCCCTCTTTCTCCCCCTTCTCCTCTTCCCCCTCTTTTCCCTCTCTTTCCTCTTCCCCCCTTCTCTCTCCTCTCTCCCTTCTCTTATCCCCCCTTCTCTTCCGTTTTCCCCTCCCCCTCTTCTTCCCGCTTTCTCCCCCCCTTCCCGCCCTTTCTCCCGAATTCTTCTCCCCCCTCTTTCTCCTTTTCTCTTCTTTTTCCTCCTTTTTTTTTCTCCTCTTCCTCCTCCTTTAATTCTCTTTTTTTTCTATCCCCTTCCTCCTCTCTTTCTCCCCCCTCTTTTCCTCCCCTTTCTCTTTCCCCTCTCCCCCGCCTTCTTTTTTCTTCCTCTTTTCTCTTCCCCCTTCTTTTTCTCCCGTTCCCCCTTCTTCCTTCCTTCTCCTAAATCCCCCTTCCCTTACATCCCTATCTTTTTTTTTTTCCCTTTTTCTCCTCCTTTTCCCCCCCTCCTTCTTTAATCCCCCTCCCGCCTCTTCTCCTTTCCTTCTCCCTTCCCTCTTTTTTTTTTTTTCCTTCTTTCCTTCTCTTTTAATCTTTTTTCTCTCTCTCTTCCCTTTTTCTTTCTTTTTTCTCCTTCCTCTCTTTTTCCTCTTTCTCCTTTCCTCTCTCCCCTCCTCCCCCTCCTTCTTTCCCTCTCCCTTCCTTCTTCCCTTCCTCCTCCTTTTCTCCTTGTTTTCCTCTCCCTTCTTTCTCTCTCTTCTTTTCTCTCCCGTTTTCCCCTTCTCCCTTTCTTCTCCCCCTTTCTCCTTCCTTCCTCCTTCCTTCTCCCTCCTTTATTTTTTCTTCCTCCCCCCCTTTTCCCTTTTCCCTCTTTTCTCCCCTTCCCTTCCTTCCTCTCTCTTCTTTTTCTTTTTTCTTCCCTCCCTCTTACCCTTCCTCCTCTTTTCCCTTTTTTTTTTCTTTCTTCTCCCTTTCTTTTTTCTTTTTTTCTTCCTCCCCTTCCCTCTTTTTTTCCCTCCCCCTTTTTTCCCCTCCCCCCCCTTCCATCTCCCTTCTTCTTCCTTTTTTTTCCCTTCTCTTTCTCTTCCCTTTTCTCTCCTTCTTTCTTCCTTTCTCCTCTCCCCTCCTTTTCCCTCTTTTCTTCTCCTTTCCCTTCCCTTTCTTCTCTCCCCCTTTCCTTTCCCTCCCCTTTCTCTCTCCCCTCTCCCCCCCCCCCTCCCTTTTTCTTTCTCTTTTTCTCTTTCTCTTCCCGCTTCTTCCTTCCTTCTCCTCCCTCCCCTTTCCCTTCTCCTCCTTTCCTCTCTTCCTCCTCCCCTTCCCTCTTCTTTCTTCTCTCCTTTTCCCTCCTCCTCCTCCCCTCCCCTTTCTTCCTCCTTCTCCCCCCCTTTTCTCCCTCCTCTCTTCCCCTCTTTTTTTCCTCCCCTCCCCCTCCTTTCTCCCCTCCTTCTCCTCCCTTTCTTCCTTTTTCCCCCCTCTCCCCCCTCCCCGTTTTCTTTTTTTCCCCCTTCTCGTCCTCCTCTCCTCCTCTTTCTCCGCCCTCTTCCCCCCTTTCCCCCCCCTTTTTTTCTTCTTCCTTTTCTTCCGCCTTTCTTTTCCCCTCTTCTCCTCCTTTTCTTTCCCCTTCTCCTCCTTCTCCCCTCTTCTCCTCCTCTTCCCCCCCCCCCCCCCTTCCTTCCCTTCCCCCCCTTCTTTTTTTTCCCCTTCCTCCTCCTCTCTTCTTCTTCTTTTCCCTTTTTCCTCCCCTTCTTCCTCCTTCCCTCTTTTTTTCCTCCGTCCTCTCTCTCTTCCCCCCCCTCCCCTCCTCCTCCCCTCCTCTCCTTTTTCCCTTTTTTCCCCCTCTCTTTTCTTCTTTTTTTTTCCCTCCCCCCCTCCTCTCCCCTTCTTTCCCCCCCTTTCTCCCCCCCTTCTCCCCTCTCCTCTTTTTTTCCCCCCTTTCTCCCTCTCCTTCTCCCCCTTTTCTCTTTCCTTTTCCTCTCTTCTTCCTCCTTTTTTTCCCTTCTTCTCTTCTCTCCTTTTCTTTTCTCCCTTCTTTTTCCCCTCCTTCTCTCTTCTCTCCTTCTTCTCTCTTCCTTTTCCCTCCTTTTCCCTTCCCCTCCCTCCCCTCTTCTTCTTCTTCTTCTTCTTCTTCCTTCTCCTTCCCTCCTCCTCCCCCCCCGTCTTCTCTCTTTCTCTCCTTCTTCTCCTCCTCCCCTTCTTCCTTTTTTCTTTCCCCCTCCCCCTCTCCCTTCTCCCTCCCCCTCCCTCTCTTTCCTTTTTCTCCTCCTCTTTTCTCCTCTCTTCTTTCTTCCTCTCTCTCTTCTCCCTTCCCTCCTCTTCTTCTCCCCCCCTCCTCCTCCTCTCTCTCCTTCTTCTCCCCCCCCTCTTTCTTCTCCCCTTTGTCTCCTCCCTTTCCCCCTCTTCTCTTTCCTTCCCTTTCCTCTTCTTTTCTCCTTCCCTTCTTTCCCCCTCCCGTTTTCCCTCTCCTCCTTCTCTTCTTTTCTTCCCGTTTTCCTCTCCCTTTCTCCTTTTTTTTTCTCTTCTCTCCTCCCTCTTTCCTTCCCCCCTCTTTCCCTCCTCCCCCTTTCTCTTCCCCCCGTCTTTTCCTCCCCCCTTCCTTTCTTTTTTTTTTTTTTCCCCCCTTCTTTTTCTTCTTTTCCTTTTCCCCCTTTTCCCCTCTCTCTTTCCCCGCTTTCCTTTCCCCTCTCTCCTCTCTCTTCTCCGTTCTTCCCTCCCTTTCCTCTCCCGTTCTCCTTCTTCCTCCTCCCCCGTTTCTCTCCGCTTTCTTTTTTCTTTCTTTTTTCTTCTCTTTTCTCTCTTTTTCTCCTCCTCCCCTTTCTTCTCCCTCTTCCC